CATGTGATCTTGACTGTTTCGTTGGGTTTACGTTACGCTCAGAATAGCCCACTTGAATGGCTCCCGAATACTTTCGGTCTTCACCATCAGAATACTTTATTCTTTGACGAATGTGAAAGATACGAAGAGAGCTTCTGAATGTATTAATTCTATCAGATTTTCATATTTTCTACGCAAACTTTTTTTGATATGTAAATAAGGCAGTCTGCAATAATCATCGTTATGATTAGGGCTGTTAAAATTTTTCTCGTAAACGTTTCGCGGCGCTTACATCAAATTTTCATATTGTGCATAAATTTTCCGAACTGACGAATCACATCGTTGCACAATGACATTTCCTTCGACAATAAACTCCTAAATATGCTACGGTAATTCATTATAAATGCGCATTTTGAAACGTCGAATTACGGTACCCAAAATTACATACATATGTATATATATGTTTGAGATGTCCTCGGATAGCGTTAAATGTTATTCAGTGATACAGACGATCTTGGTTGCCATCTGTGAACATTTCTGTGATCAATGTGGCTCATTTATTGCTGCTCTCGACTTGTCCTAAACGCTTGCTCCTTTGGAGCGGAATTCTTGCCCTGGAGTGCAACGACTACAGTTCAAAGCCTAAGTAANGTCACTCAGTATGGATTCATAAGAGACACTGTTCCAGTAGATGTCAGATTTGGGATGACTATACGTTGATGGGCAAAGTTTCTGAATCGTGTTGTATGAAAGGCTAAACGGTTTAGCACTTGTCCAACACTGTATATCTGCATCCTTCACCTGCTCTTCACCCCACTTCTGCACTGTCCGAAACATCCAGTTGCGCTGGTTCTTGTGGCTGGTTGCACCACAGCTGATTGACATCATCGCTTCCGTCATCAATGTGTTGTGCGCAAAAATAACAGATTCCTTGCAGCTGACCAGTTCAAATGCTAATTTAGAACTGATTATTTTATGCTTGCTTACAAACCAATCATTCGATTTCGATGATTTTTTTTGGCTCTAACCTATCCAATACGATGTAGAACTATTCGGATAGTTTCATTTATTCGTTGAAACGAAACTCGTACAAATTGGTTGTTGAGTAATGCAATTTTTAGTAAGCTTTCTCGCAACCACGAGTGCTATAACTGATTGATATGTTAGGTGAATAACAATGGAATTGATAGTTCTGACGAAGAAGTCATTCTCATAACAAATACAGACATGAACAACGATTCAAAAAATATTATTTACATTCATACGAAGACAATTTGATCAATGGTATTGATCAAGAATGTGCCAACGACTCTACAAAATGAAATTATTTTGACGAAATGGTTACTTTTTTTTGAGTCGCTTTTCTGCTATTCTTCAAAGCCGTTTGTAATGCAATCTTGCGACCGATCGTCAATATGTACTAGTCCCTATGTTCCCCCGGGAATATTCAAATGGCATTGTAGTGCAGTCGATTAGAGTGCGACATTCGGTTAGGGTTTCGTATGCATCAAAAGCGACGAATGAAAAATGGGCTGGACGCGAGAATAGGAATGAAGCATAAGATGAACAAAACTTGTTCCGATCTCGAGTCAGCCAGAGATGGTGTTTTGTATATCACAAAAAGGTGGAACTGTTACAACACTGTAACAAAACTGACTGACTCCGTTTTACAGTTGTTTTATCCAGTTTCAGGCTAATAGAGCACAGTTTTGGGTGAGTGAATCGATTAGTGAATAGTATGGTATCGTCACTCAAAACGATAGTCGTGACATGGCTCGGCTGGTACGTCGCCTGGCCAGCAAATAATCACGTTCGTTCGGATTCAGGCACGGCTTGTGACGGCCTCGTTTCGCCTTACAGCAACAACCGTATGCATAGTGCGCTGGTACGTAGCAGCAAAGACACGGTATCAACAACGATAGCAACGCTAGAAGTATCCAACGCTTCAGTCGCTTCTTTCGAGACAGATTCGATGGAGCGCACGAACAGACGTTCTGAAATGACCAATATCCACTTAGTTTATTCCCATATCTGATTATCATTCTGATGAACCTCCTGGTTTTCAGTGGTGCGATTTCTCAAATTCATTGATGAGTAGTGAATGTTTTCAAGTGTTGAAATCTCACATATCCGTGTCCATATCGTCCCATATTAGCGGCCGTTTCGTCGTCGTTCCGACAACAATGATAAATGACACCTTGGGCAACCGAATAACACGTTAGGCGACGAATCGTCAGTTCGACTGGATCAGGAGCTTCTCTGTGCAAAATATTTTCTTTAAATGCCTTCATGCGTATCACTACAGGAACGAGTGCTTCATCTCTCAGTTCACTTTCTGGTTGGAACGATTCGAAGGTAGTTGGTATATCGATGGTTGTTTTTTTCACATCCGAAACGCCACTCAATAAGTTCAGTTTATCTCCACACATCAAAGAAAATTAATCGGATTACTTGCAACACCCTCGTCGGTTGTCTTTGATATTGTACCAGTTTCGACAATAAAAGCAACATTCACGTCGCATCATTTCCGAAGAAGGCTCCTTCTTCTTCGGTAGTACGATATGTTCTCCATTCTTATAGAGCGACGAATGCGCCTCAATGAATGACCTTACGCCGTCAACATCAAATGGACCTGTTACGATTCAACAATTCTTTTGGTGATGCTAGCATCGAACATAGAA